GGGGAGAGGTAAGCATCTCAGTAGAGGCTCAGTTGAGCATAGCTAGGAAGAGGGGATGGACACAGAAACTAAAGACTCAGGAAAAAAAAGCAAGGAGCCACAGAGACATGCAATATCCAATCCAAATGTGATGGAACCAGTGGGGAACAGGGCCAGCAGGGAGAAGGTCCAGCAGAAATCACATAGTGACATCACTAGAAGTCCTCATTGACCTTGCAGAAGCTGAAAGATAAGCTGCCTCTCAATGTGTGTACTTTGGTCACACATTTTTCCTGCATACACATTCTTCCAAGAGTATGCTCTGGCCATACATGTTCCCTATATATGTACTTTCTATTCATTTACCCTAACCACAGGTGTTTCCTACATATGTGCCCTCTATACATTTCCCCAGTCACATATATTCCTTATATGTGACCTTCCATTGATGCACCCTAGCCACATATGTGTGCCATTTCATATGTGTTCCCTGTGTGTGTGACCACTTTTTACACTTGTGAAGTACATGTTTGTGGGAGGGTGTGCCCCAGTTTATGTGGGAAATATTGAGAGACTTAGGTGGTTCAGTGGACGGAAGCTCTGAGCTCAAATCTAGCCTTAGATACTTACTAGCAGTGTGACTCTGGGCAAGTCACTTAAACTCTGTGTGCCTCAGTTTCCTCATCTGTAAAGTGGAGATAATAATAGCACCTAAATCCCAGAGCTATTACAAGGATCAAATGTGATAATAATTATAAAGTCCCTTAGCACAATGCCTGGGACATAGTAGGTGCTATACTAATGTTAGCTTTCTATATATCTATAAATGCTTGATTGTCACTTTTCTTAATGTGCTCTTTCATTAAATATTTTTTCATTGAATGAATTGTGTCCTCTTGCTGACTAGTAGAGATGAACATGGTGGGGGCTGAACTATGGTTTTGAGTGGATGAAGACGCACAGATTACTTTAAATCTAGGACAGTTTTGGGGGGCCCTATATATAGGTAGTGGTGCTACCTATAAGACATGATACCGAACCTCATGGAGATTACTGTCTAGTAGGGACTTGAGGCAAATACAGACACCAAATAATGTATAATGTTACACAGCAAATACATCAGATAATTACAAAACAAAGGGCTAGGTAAGGCCTGAAGGGGTAGGTTTTGCTAGCAAGAGGTTGCATTTGAGCTGAGGCCTTAAAGGGACATTTAGGAATTAGGTGACGTGGGAGGAAGGCTATTTCAGGGACAGGACAACAGTCTGAGCAAAGGCCCAGGTAGGAACATGCACGATGAGAGAAAGGGGGAGAAAGTAGCTTAATATGGCTAAATATAGAGTGCTGGTAGTGGAGCAATACGAGATACCACAAAGCACCACAGCCAACCTGTTGATGAGACTCTGAATTTAACTAGGCTGTTTCTCAGATTACAGGCACACACAGTTGTTCGTCATGGGATCCATACTTGAAACCTTTCCAGGTGGTAGGACCTATCAGAATTTGTATTTTTCTCTCATAGCCTTATGAATCTGGAATTATATCCATGCCATGATGGGGCCTCAGAAAAGGACTTCAGTAGAAGCTAATTATTACTGGTTCTAACCAATTAGAAGCTACAGAGAAGGCAGGATCACATGCTCTATGTCAACAATGGCATTGTTGAATGTTATAGCAGAAGGAAATATTATTAAAGTAGAAGATGAGGTTACAATTTTCCTTGGGTTATATGTTACTTCCTTTCTGAAAGAAAAAGCATAGCTCTCCTCATACTAACCCATATTGTAGTACTGTTTGGCACTGAACATCAGAAGCTGAGGGAAAAGAAGCTATGAGAGAGGAAAGCGAACAGAAAAGGCAAAGGGATTTATTACAGTGCATTGCAAGAAATCCAGATCCTCCTGGTCTAGAAGAAAGGCTCATTCCTGGATGATACCTCTGCTAGGCAATTATTTGTGAGGTAGTGGGCTCCTGCATCCCACCCCTCGTATACCCTTTGGAAGTCTTCAAACAGAGATTAGATGAGGGAAATAACTATTGTTTTAAAGGCTCTGACTTGACTAAATCCTTAGCCCTGTGAGAACCGTACCCCTACTAGCAGAGATACACTTCTCTAAGACTATCAGTAGGATTCTGCTCTCAGGTGGGAAGGCATTGAGTCTTCCTGGGAAAACTGGAAAGCAGTCAGGCAGAAACTAGGTAAAATAGACCAATATTTTACATCATTTACCAAGATAAGGTCAAAATGAATACATGACATAGACATAAAAGGAGATATCATAAGTGAACTAGTATTACCTATTAGATTTCTGGACGGGAAAGAATTTATTCATAAGTAAGAGATGGAGAGCATTGTGGGATGTAAAATGGATAATTCTGATTATATTAAATTTAAAAGTTTTTGGACACAAAAACCCAATGTAGCTAAAAGGAAAGCAGAAAATTGGGGAAAATTTATAGATAGTTTCTCAGATAAAGGCCTCATACTTCAAGTATATAAAGAACTGAGTCAAATTTATAAGAATATTAATAATTCCACAATTAATAAATGGCCAAAGGATATGAACAAGCAGTTTTTGGAAGAAGAAATCAAATATTACACATAGTTATATGAAAAAATGCTCTAAATCATCATTGATTAGAAAAATGCAAATTAAAACAACATTGAGGTACCATCTCATACCTATCAGACTGGTTAAAATGATAGAAGGGGAAAATGACAAATGTTGAAGAGAACGTGGAAAAATTGAGACGCTAATACACTGTTGGTAGAACTGTGAACTGCTCCAACCATTTTGGAGAGCAATTTGGAACTATGCCCAAAGAGTTATAAAACTGTACTGTGTATGTCCTTTGATGTAGCAATACCACTATTAGATTTGTTTCCCAAGGTAATCAGGGAAAAAGGAAAATAATTTATATATTCTAAAATATTTATAGCTGCCTCTTTGTAGTGGCAAAGAACTAGAAATTATAGGGATGCCCATCTGTGATGGAATACTACCATCCTATGAGCAGGTTGATTTTAGAAAAACATGGAAAGACTTGCATGAAATAAATGAGTAGAACCAAAAGAATGTTGTATGCAGTTAACAGTCATATTGTTCTAAGAGTAACTGTGAATGGCTAAGCTATTCTGAGTAACATGAATATTCAAATCGACTAAAAGGACTTATAAAGAAAAATGCTATCCACCTCCAGAGAAAGAAGTGATATGTGGAAGTATGTATTGTATGGTTCCATATATCTATATCTATGTCTATATCAAATGATGGTATTCTCTAATGTAGGATTGGGAGGGAAGAAGGGAGACAATTTGGAATTCAAGATGTAACAAAAAATAAAATAAATATTAAAAAGTAATTTAGTTCAAGATTGTGTCTTGTTATGTATTCTTGTGATTTTTTAACAAATCTTTGTGAAATGAATCAATGAATGGATTAAGGATCTACTATGGGAACAAGTATCATCTCAAAGAAGAGCATTGAGAGGACACTTCCCAAAATTCCTTTACATAAGTGTGTGTGTGTGTGTGTGTGTGTGTGTGTGTGTGTGTGTGTGTGTGGAGGGTCCACAGGTGTGGGACACTGAATATTATTTTCAGATTTTTGGAATGTGGTGTTTAGTTTTGATGATTATTTTTCTCTCTTCCCTCTTTTTCCCCCTAAAAATTATTTGTTATCTGGGATGGTTCTCTAGGAGAACAGAGAGGAAGCAATACAGGGAAAAATTTAGGTGATATAAAAACAACAAATATCTCAGTCTATCTATCTTATCTATCTATCATCTATCGTACCCCAGGCACAGCACTATTAATGATGTTATTGGGGAATACAACAGAAAGAGAAAAATGAATCTTTGCTTTTGGTTAGGAAATGATTTTATGCTCAATATGCTCCTTGGACTTCACAAAACTATCAGTTCATTTTTTAAAAATCTGTTGAAATTCTATTTTTTTTAAAGTAAGCTTTATTGCTGCTTTTGTTTTTATATTAGTCATTCCTATATGTATGCTTTGCTCTTCAAATGAGCCTTCCTTTGTCACAAAGAAAATAAATAAGCAAAGAATGAATGACAAAGTGAACCCAACTGACTGACAGAGTATGCCACATTCCAGGCCAGAAGTCTCCCATCTTTCTACTAAAGGAGGGACTTGCTTTCTTGTCTCTTCTCCAGGCCTAGATTGGTCATTACACTCAGTCATAGACTGTTTTAGTGTTGTTTTTGATTACATTACTGTAGTCAAGGTGTTACTGTTCTCTTGGCTCTGTTCACCTTAACCTATCGGTTTAGTTTTTACAACAGGAAGCAAATTATAAAGGACCTTGACACTTCTTTTTTAGCTGCCCCGACCTTGACACTTTCTAAAGATAAACATAGCATCTTAAGTACAAAAGACTAAGAAAGGGGATACAAAGCAAATAAAGAGTTGCTAGATGGCACCACAGTGCATGGAGTGCCACGTCAGGAAGGCTCATCTTCCTAAGGTCAAATCTGGCCTCAGACACTAACTGTGTGATCCCGGGCAAGTCACTTAACCTTTGCCTCAGTTTCATCATCTGTAAAAGGAGTTAGAGAAGGAAATGACAAACTACTACCAGTATCTTTGCCAAGATACTGTTTGTCAGGTAGTGTTTGCCTGAAGTGCTCCGCGGGTGAGGATAAGATGATGGGTACATCCGGAGCCCAGAGAAGCGGAAAGAGAGAGGAACTACCATCCAGAAGCAAGTCAGTGTAGCAGAGCAGGTTGACAGAGGTGGGGAGTTACTGGTAAAGGGGAAGAGGGAAGGCCACACGGGTTGTGGGATTGGAAGGGAGAGAAGCAGGAGCAGCAGCAGCAGCATGGACAGGAGCAGCAGCAGCAGCGGCGGCGGCAGCGGCGGCGGCAGCAGCAGCGAAGCTCTCCAGTCTCAGTCCAACACCCTTGTACTCACAGCTTCACCCACGACTGCCAGTCACCGTTCCAGGCTCCGCCTCTCGCGAACGCGACCAATGCTTGACTGCGGACGGATGAGGGGAGACGTATTGGGGTCGCAGCCGCTGAGATACCGGGAAGTAGAAGGAGGCTGGAGGCTGGGGAAGCTCTGGGTTGGCTTTGGACACCAGCCTGGTTGGTTTTGCGGCGCCTGAGCTTCCCCGCAGCTATGTGAGGGGCTGCATTGGCGATGGGAGCTGGGGACCCTCCAGCGGCAGCGGCGTCTGCAGCGGCTGCTCGAGGTGGTGAGTAGCGGTCCCCAAGACAGCCAATGAAGAGCTTTGCTTGAATGGCCTCCTCCCCACCCCACGTTCTTCCTTCTGCCATCGCTTTTTCCCCCTATCCCCCTGTGCAAACTCCCGGACTTCCCCGCCCGGCCCCTCCTGCGCTTTCCAGTCCCGTATCCCTCCCTTGTCGCAGCCGCTAGATACTCCCATTAGCTTTTTCTTCCTCTTCCGCTTTTTTTGTGCAGTCTCCCTGGGCTAGGGGCACAGGTAGCCCCCGGAGCCCGCTTGCCGCTGCTGGGGCGGCTGGGGCGGCTGGGGGGGCTGCTGGGGCTGCTGCGGGGGCTGCGGGGGCTGCGGGGGCTGCGGGGGCTGCGGGTGCGGCTGCTGCTGCTACTACTACTGCTGGGGTTGCTGATGCTGCAGGGCCGGCTGCGCAGGAGGGCTGGTGGTTAGAGCCTCGCCTCCCGGCTGACTCTCCAGCTAGGCATGGTGTGAGTGGTTTACTTCGGTATTATAGTACAATCTTGAGAAAAGCAGAGCTGGAGTGCCGGTATCTACTCAGCTGGAGGACAGGCAGAAGATGGGAGTAGGGGGTTGAGGAATGAAGGCAGGCCTTAGGGCACCCTCTGGGAGGCCAGGACTTTGTGACCATCCCTCAGTTGGCTAGGACCACCTGAGAAGGTCTTCTCCAATTACCTTCTTTTTTTTTCCTTTGGCAGCAGGAGCCCCCTCTGCCTCTGTTTTCTCTAGGGCAAACACATACCCTTGCCCACACTGTTTTTCTAAAAGCAGAGTTGTTCCTTGGGGAAGGCAGGGTTAGGGGATGCTGTAGATGACAGAGATATTTGAAGAAGAGTGTATCTGAGAGTGAGTGCAAGAGTTTGTAAAGGAATTGAGCAGGGGAGAGCTGTACCGAACTAAAAGAAAGTGGATTTGAAGTATCCTTGACATAACTTTGCCAGATCCCGCAGGTACAACAGCCCGACCTGCCCACTCCTACATTTTTTTCTTGAGACCTTAGGATAAGCTGTCTGACAATACCATCAAGGACTCCTAAAACCCTGCTCAAGTGTAATTGACCGTATAATAGAAAGTGGGAGGCCAATTATATTGTTATATCTCCCTTCTCCCCCCAAAAGGTGTTGTGCCATAGGATATGGAATTGGAAGGAACCATAGGGATCATTTCTTCAACTCCTTCCCCCTACCCCACTACTTTTACAGAAGAAGAAATTGAGGCCAAGAGTAATTTTTGTTGTCTGTAGTGTAGGCAGGATTGGAACCCAAGTCTTGTGGCTGCCCAGACTTCATACTGTTCCCAGATATCATTATGAAGTTGGACTGTCTAATTTATTTAGTGTATTTCCTCAGTCTGCCTATTATTGTGTATGTGACATTTTTAAATTGGCAGTTAGGTGTGTTTGTAAGTTCTTTTAGAGGCACCTCAGATATCCTCTGGTCCAGGGGTTCTTATTTATTTGTGTGTGTCATGAACCTTTCTGGCAGTCTGGTAAAACCTATGAACCCCTTCTCAGAATAATGGATTTAAATGCATAAAATAAAATACATAGGATTTGAGAAGAAACCAATTATAATGAAATTCAGTTATCAAACTACATATTAAAAAAAAGTTCACAGAGCCCAAGTTAAGATCTCTTGCTCTAGTACAACTCCAACAGAAACACAAATTTCTTCATATGTCATTCAGTCTGCTTGAATGCTTCAGTGACTGGGAGCTCACTATCCATTTGTCAGCCCATTCTATTATTAGGTGTGGTTGTTATTCAGTGGTGTCTGACTCTCTATGATCCCATTTGGGGATTTCTTGGCAAAGATGCTGGAATGGTTTGCCATTTCCTTTTCCAGCTCATTTTACAGAGGAGAAAGTAAAGCAAACAGGGTTAAGTGATTTGCCCAGGGTCACACAGCTAGTTGGTGTCTGAAGCTGGATTTGAACTCAAGAAAAGCCTTCCTGACAACAGGCTAGACACTCTATCAGCTTCACCACCTACTTGCCATTATTAGGCCTTCCTTATATTAAAATGAAATTTGTCTCCCTATAACTTTTATTTATTGGTTATTGTTCTCCTCTGAGCCAACCAGATTGTCTAATCTCTTTTCAGTGAAACAACTTGTACAGTTTGAAATGCTATTATCCTAAGGGACTGCCCGAGAGGGATGGTACCAAAGGGAAGAGCGCATAATTTCCTTACAGTTTTGTTCAAGGTTGACTTTGTATGTTTCATTCCCAAGTAGTATAATCTCTCAATCTTCCTCATCGTTTAGGTAAAGTCCTAACAAAATTTGCTTTCAAGTAAAATCCAAAATATAGTAACCAGAGAGATACAAAGAAGAAAAACAAGACAAATGCTGTTATAGATCAATGGTTCCCAACTTTAGGATGTACCCAAATTACGGTCACTATTTGAGCATCTCCTAGATATGTCCTCACTGATGCTCACTCATTTTTTTTAAAATTAATTCATTTATTTTTAGTTTTCAACATTCACTTCCACAAGATTTTGAGTTCCACATTTTCTCCCCATCTCTCCCCTCCCCCCACTCCAAGACAGCATGCATTCTGAATACTTCTTCCCCCAATATGCCCTCTCTTCTATCACTGCCCCCCACTTATCCCCTTCTCCTCCTACTTTCCTTTAGGGCAGGATAGATTTCTGTACCCCATTGCCTGTATCTTATTTCCCAGTTGCATGTAAAAACAAATTTTTTTTTGGCAAGGCCGTTGGGGTTAAGTGACTTGTCCAGGGTCAGACAGCTAGTGAGTATTATGTGTCTGAGGCCACATTTGAACTCAGGTCCTTCTGACTCCAGGGCTCTATCCACTGCACCATCTAGCTGCCCCTTAAAAACAATTTTTAACGTTTGTTTTTAAGACGTTGAGTTCCAAATTCTCTCCCTTCCTCCCTCCCCACCCACCCTCATTGAGAAGGCAACAAACTTGATATAGGTTATACATGTGTAGTTATGCAAAACACTTCCATAATAGTCAGGTTGTGAAAGACTAACTATATTTCCCTTCATCCTGTTCTGCCCCCATTTATTCTATCCTCTCCTTTGACCCCATCCCTCCTCAAAAGTGTTTGCTTCTGATTACCCCCTCCCCCAATCTGCCCTCCCTTCTATCATCCCCCCTGTCTTATCACCTCCCCCCTTACTTTCCTGTAGGGTAAGATAGATTTCCACACCCAATTGAGTGTGTATGTTATTCTCTCCTTAAGCCAGATCTGATGAGAGTAAGATTCACTCATTCCCTCTCACCTCCCCCTACTTCCCCTCCAGTGTAAAAGCTTTTTCTTGTCTGTTTTATGTGAGATAATTTACTCCCATTCTACCTCTCCCTTTCTTCTTTTCCCAGTACATTCCTCTCTCACCCCTTAATTTTATTTTTTAGATATCATCCCTTCATATTCAACTCACCCTGTGCCCTCTGTCTATGTATATATATATTTCCCTCCTACCACCCTAATAATGAGAAAAGTGTCATGAGTTACAAATATCATTTTTCCATGTAGGAGTGTAAACAGTTCAACTTTATTAAGTCCCTTATGATTTCACTTTCCTGCTTACCTTTTCATGCTTCTCTTGAGTCTTGTATTTGAAAGTCAAATTTTCTATTTAGTTCCGGCTTCTCAAGAACGAATTAAATTCCTCTACATCATTGAATGTAAATTTTTTTCCCCTCATTGATTACACTCAGTTTTGCTGGGTAGGTGATTCTTGGTTTTAATCCTAGTTTCTTTGACCTCCAGAATATCATATTCCAAGCCCTTCAGTCCCTTAATGTAGAAGCTGCTAAATCTTGTGTTATCCTGATTGTGTTTCTGCAATACTTGAATTGTTGCTTTGTGGCTGCTTGCAATATTTTCTCCTTGACCTGGGAACTCTGAAATTTGGCTATAATATTTCTGGGAGTTTTCCTTTTGGGATCTCTTTCAAGGTGGTCAGTGGATTCTTTCAATTTCTATTTTACCCTCTGGTTCAAGAATATCAGAGCAGTTTTCCTTGATAATTTCTTGAAAGATGATGTCTAGGCCCTTTTTTTGATCATGGCTTTCAGATAGTCCAATGATATTTAAGTTATCTCTCCTGGATCTATTTTCTAGGTCAGTTGTTTTTCCAATTAGATATTTCACATTATCTTGTATTTTTTCACTCTTTTGTTTTTGTTTTATAATTTCTTGATTTCTCATAGTCATTAGCTTCCATTTGCTCCTTTTTAATTTTTAAGGAATTATTTTCCTCAGTGACCTTTTGGACCTCCTTTTCCATTTGGCCAGTTCTGCTTTTTAAGGTATTCTTCTCCTCACTGGCTTTTTGGACCTCTTTTGCCATTTGAGTGAGTCTATTTTTTAAGGTGGTATTTTCTTCAGTATTTTTTGGGGTCTCCTTTAGCAAGTTGTTGACTTGTTTTTCATGATTTTCTTGCATCACTCTCATTTCTCTTCCCAATTTTTCTTCTACTTCTCTTACTTACTTCTTAAAATCCTTTTTGTGAGCTCTTCCATGGCCTGGGACCAATTCATATTTTTCTTGTAGGCTTTGGATATAGGAGCTTTGACTTTGTTGTCTTTTTCTGGTTGTGTGTTTTGATCTTTGTCACCAAAGTAAGTCTGAGTTTTTTTACGCTGTTTGCCCATGTTCCCAGCCAATTACTTGACTTTTAAACTTGTTGATAAGGTAGGGCTCTGCTTTCAGTGTGGAAAAATGTACTGTCCCAAGCTTTAGGGGTTTTGTGCAGCTGTTTTCAGAGATACTTCTAGGGACCTGTAAATTTTCAGTTTTTCCAAGGTGGTATAATCAAGGGCGTGATGCTTACTCCTTTCCTGGCCTGTGCTCTGGTCTATGAGTGACCGCAAGCACTCTTTTCTGCCTTGGAACTGGGAGGAGGGTACCCTCTCCACTGCTGCCACAAGTTCCAGCACTGCAGCACTCCTCCTCACCCCAGGACTGCCACCCAGGACAGCGACCTAGATCCGACCAGGGGCAAAACAAGAGAATCCTGCCTCAGCACCAGCAAAGAGATCCCTGCAGTCCCCCTCTGATCAGCTGCTCGATCTCCCCACCATCTGTAGGTGGAGAGCTCTGGAAGCAGCTGCCACCTCGTGGCTATGCCAGGACTGGGGTTGTTACTGAGCTCCTCTCTCCCCTAGGTCTGACAGACCTTTCCTACTGACCTTCTAAGTTGTCTTTGGTGTTTATGGGTTGAGAAGTCTGGAAAGTGCTACAGCGGCCCATGATTCAGTCCCCTGAGGTCTGCTCTGGATTCGCTGAGGCCTGGTCTTTGCCTGCTCAGCCCACACTGAACTGCTCTCCTCCCTCAGCCCATGGCAACAGACCTTTCCCATCCTCCAGGTTGTCTTGGGCTGGAAATTTGTTTCACTCTGTCTTTTTGTGGGTTCTACTGCTCTCAAATTTGTTTAGAGCCACTTTTTACAGGTATTTGGAGGGATTTGGGGGAAAGCTCAAGCAAGTCATTGCCTTTACTCTGCCATCTTGGCTCCGCCCCTGATGCTCACTCATCTTGAAGAGGCAACCTTTGGAAGGAACGCTAGAGCAGGAACTCCTAGGATCTGTCCTTGGTCTCATCATGTTCAACAGTTTTATATTAACTTGGAAAATAGATAGAGATGGCACATGCCAACTTTTCAGATGGCAGGATGCTAGTAGGAATAATTATTACAGTTGATGACAAAATTATTATTTAAAAATTTGTGGCAGCCTAGAATAACGGGATCAGCAGCACTGCGAGTCATAGTGGTGAATTGGGAGTAGTGAACTGGGTCAGCTGCATGGCATGCTGGGGGCAGATTGTAGGCAGATTGTCAATTGGAGGACGAGGAGGAGGAGAGGCTACTGCGCCTAACTAAAGAATAGCTGCTGTTGTGGAGATTTATGACAACTGCTTTTCTTTTCTTTTGGGAGAACAACTCCAGATCTAGGATTTAGGAAGGGGGTAGGGAAACTTTCTCTGATATGAGCATTTCTCTTTTTCCCAGAGTGCAAGACTTTGGGAATATGGCCCCTGGAGTCCTGTGTGGTTCTCCTTGTCTCTTTCTCAGGATACCTAGACTATTTTGACTATGTTTGGAACTTCCTGTTGATTTTTGGGGTGGTATTGGTGGTCAAACTTCCTATATGCAGAAGACCTTCTTGAGAAAACCAGATACTGATTGTCTCAAAAACCCTGCCTCGTCAAAATTTGAGAGCTTCATAAAAGATGTTTAGTGATGATGATGATGATGATGATGATGATGATAACAAATTCTTTGGACTTTGCCATCAGGCTGCCTCAGCTGCTGTCTCACCCTGGAACTTCCCTCAGAACCTGGGGCCTCTTCACTCTGGAACATCCATTCTTCCCCTGAAGGCTTCTCACCCTTGAACATGTCTCTGCCATGCTGGCCCCCTTCTCCCATTGGTGAGTTCCTCCTAGGGCCTCCATTTTGGATAGTGACCCAGGCCAGCAAATTTTTATACCCTTGGTGGTTGTGCTTTTGACTCTTTGGAGTTCAGTATCAGGGCCATGAACAGGTACCCCCACATCCCTTTTTCAACACTTTTTGTGTGTTTTCCTCCCTCATTAGAACGTAATTTCTTTGACGTCAGAGACTATCTTTCTCTCTGCTTGTATTGTATGGCCAGTGTTTCTTAGCACAATGCCTGGTCCATAATAAAGGCTGAAGAAATACTTGTTGCTTTGCCTCCTTGAGAGTAAGCGTTGTTTCATCCATTGTATTTGTATTTACAGCATCTAGCACATAATAAGTGCTTAAAAATGCTTGTGGATTGATTGAAATATAAAAGTTTGTGCTTGGTTTAAAAAAAATCAGTTACTTAAAAACAATATGGGAGAAAATGGCTTTTTTGTGTAAAAATGTTCTGGTATTTTTTTTTTTTTTGGGAGCAGTAGGATATCAACATTGATGTGGCAGGCTAAAAATCTAATGTTATTTTATATTTTAATATTTAAATGGATCTGTAAGCTCATTATTTGTACATGCCTCTCAGTAGTATAGTTCATAATCCATCTATGCCTTATTATCCTATGCGACTTTTTCCCAAGTCATACTATAAATCCTCTATGAGGAGCTCCCCGCAAGATGGGGACCTATGTCTAGATTTCTTAACATTACATAGATATCAATGCAGCATTCAGATTATCTCTTATTCCTCGCTATTGTTACATGACCAGCCAACCCCCTTTTCTGATCATAAGTCTCTGATATCTTTTGTGCCACTGCTTACAAGTATCACTGGTAATATACTATACTCACCATGTGTCTCTTTACCGACCTTTGGGTGACCTACAATTCTGATTCTGCCAAGATTATAGTTTCCCTTGATTTGTAACCATCTAAATATCACTGCAGGAACAGCGATATAAAAAGAAAGGTTTTCATTTTGGGGAGAAGCTTGGGATCAGTGAAAGAGCTTTTCAGTTTCCCAAATGTAATCCAGAGAGGCATTATCATGTGGTGCATAGAGAATGGTCTCAGAGTCAGGAAGACATCTGCTGAAGTTCTACTGTTGATATGTACTGGTTGTGTGACCCTGGGGCATGGTTTCCCCAAGCAGCACTCCCAGACAATAAAGTACAGAGCAGGTGGCAGTTTGCCTTGGGAGAAGGAGTTTCCTTATTAGCAGTTCTCTATACCAGTAAAGGGGATCTTCCCCACCTTCTCTGCTCCCAGAATCTAGCCTCTTTTCCTCCTGTGCATTTGCAGTGCCTGTGTGAAGTATACTTATGGATGGATCTACTGAATGAGTTGTTCAAACAAGTCAAATAAGGTCAAGTCAACAAACATTTATTTATTTATTTATTTATTTATTTTTGTTTTTTTTTTTGGTGAGGGCAATTGAGGTTAAGTGACTTGCCCAGAGTCACACAGCTAGTGAGTGTTATGTGTCTGAGGCCGGATTTGAACTCAGGTCCTCCTGACCCCAGGGCAAGTGCTCCATCCACTGCACCACCTAGTTGCCCCTCAACAAACATTTATTAACCACCTCCTCTGTGCCAGGTACTGTGGTAAATGTCAGTGATACAAAGAAAGCAAAATCCATTCCTGCGCTCAAGGAGCTCACACTATAATGGAGGAGACAACATGCAAACAATTATTTACAATCTTTCTCTGTCTCTGTCTCTGTCTCTGTCTCTCTCCTCTGTCTCTCTTGTTCTCTCCTCTCTTCTCTCCCCTTCTCTCCATTTATATATCTATATAATTAAAAAAATACATTGGACATAATCTCATAGGGAAGGAATTAGCATTTAAAGGGATTTGAAAAGACTTCTTGCCAAAAGTGAGATTTTAGCTGAGACTTAGAGGAAACCAGGGAAGCCAGAACATAAAGATGAAGAGGAAGAGAGTACTAGGCATAGGTACAAGCTACTGAAAATGTCTCAAGTCTGGAGATGGAGTGTTTTCTGTGAAGAACATCAAGAAGGCTGGTTATCACTATATTAAAGAGTATGGGGAAGGGAGTGTGATGTAAGAAGACTGGAAAGATGGCAGGGAGTTAGTTTATGAAAGACTTTAAAATCCAAACAGAGGATTTTGTATTTGATCTTGGAGATAACAGGAAGCCATTTTTGAATGGGGGGGGACAGGGTCAGATCTGCTTTTTAGGAATATCATTTTGATAGTTGAGTAGTAGAAGATAGAGTGGAGTAGGGAGACCAGCCAGAAGGCTAGTGTAAGTCCAGGGATGAGGTGATAAGGACTTGTACTAGAGTGATGGTGAGTCAGAGGATAAAAGCGGGCATATGTAACTCAGGATGCACTTGTAAAACCAGTTTACAATTAGGTGTACTTATTAGGGATGGAAGTACACTAATAAGATGCATTCATTAGTGCATACAGTCAAACCTTATTGCCCATTCAACAGGGCATGGTATCAACCCCTCTAGGAACAAACTACCAACCTGATTTCTAAAGTGTCACCTACTGGTGCTCGTGAAAATATTCTTTCTCTGCTTAGTCAGAGGCTGTTTGTCTCCTTCCAAGGTGGTAAGTTTTCATCTGTTAACACTGTTCTCCAGTGAACAGTGGGGTGCTCAAACTTCTGAATTTGGGGAATGCAGGAGCATGTTCTGGTCAAGACTCAGAAGCAGGCTGATCCTTGGAGCCTCTGGTGAGTTTTTATGGTTCTGGTTAAGGGTATTTACAGATTATATCTAGGCTCTAATAGGCAATCAATTACTTAAACTTATGACAGGAAACCATCAATCAGAGCTTTAGTTTCTTAATATCATTAGCAAACATTTATCAGTCACTTATCACATATGGTGGATACATATTCATACTTGTTTACAAAATTTGGGGGACACACACTTTATTAGTTGTTTATCATATTTAGGGAACCCACACATCATTAGTAGTTATTTACTAAAAGAGACATAGGCAGCATTAGTAGTTGTTTACCAAATTTGGAGGACAGTTGTCAAACTGTATCATTCAAGTGCCATTTGTCATCACCAAATTATATTACTCAAGTCCTTATCTTATTATAGAAAAACAACTTATATAACAACTACTTAGTCAGAAAATGGAAACTTAAAACAAAAGGAAGCTGCTTATTCTAAATTAACATATTTATTACCACTACAGCATATACGAGACATGTTTGGAAGATAGAATTGACAGTTCTTGGCAACAGATTGGATATATGGAGAGTGAGGAGTTTGAGGGTAGCATCCAGGTTGCAAACCTGGGTGACTAGGAGGATTGTTGTACCCTCACCAGTAATAGGGAAGTTACAAAGGGAGAATGGTTTAGGAGAAAAGATAATGAGTTCAATTTTGGACGTATTGAACTTAAGATGTCTGTATCCAGTTCAAGATGTCCAGTTGGAAGTTGGACACATGAGAATGGATGCCAGGAAAGAAGTTAGGGCTGTATAAGTAGATCTGAAAATCATCTGTACATAATATGTATAGATAGAAGAGATCCTAGGACAGAACCTTTGAGGACACTCACTGTTAGTAGGCATGCCCTGGATGAAGATGTAGCAAAGGAGACTGAGAAGGAATGGTCAGATAGGTAGGAGGAGAACTAGGAGAAATCTGTGTCACAAAAATGTGGAGAAAAGAGATTATCCAGGAGAAGAGGAGGTTCAACAGTATTGGCATTTGGGGAGGTGAAGAGGGAAGAGGATTTGGAAAAGTCCATTAGTTTGGTAACTAAGATAATTGGTAACTTTGAAGAGAGTTGTTTAAATTGAATGATTAGGTTGCAAGACAGATTATAGAGAATTAAGAAGCGAGTGACGGGATAGAAAGTGGAGGCACCAATTGTAGAAATCTTGCTTAAGGAGCTTAGCCATGAAAAGGAGAGATAGGATAATAGCTAGCTGGGATGGACAGATTAAGTGAGGGTTTTTTGAGGATGTGGGATTTATGGGCATGTCTTTAGGCAGCAGTGAAGCAACACAAGATTAGTGAGAGAGTGGCCATGATGGAAGGGACAATTTTACTGGAGAAGAGTAGGTGGAATGAAATCACTTTTGTAGGTAGAGTAGTAAGCTTTGTCAAGGAAGAAGGGCCATCTCTTCATGTGAAACAAATGTGAAGGCAAAGAAAATGGGGGAAGGTATCTGAGTGATGTGAAATGAGGATCATGGGAGAAGAGGGAGCTCTCAATGAAAAACTTCTTTTAAAAAGTGAAATATGAGGCAAGGTTCTTGGCTGAGTGAGTAGAAGGAGGGGGCGCCGGGAGAGTCTTGGGGAGGGATGAAAAGGTTTGAAAAGCCATTGTGGTAAGTGGGATACTAAATCAATTAGGGAGGTATACAAGGATTGCCTTGCTACTGTGAGGGCCCAGGTGAGATTGGTAACATCAATCTACATATCATAGTCTGGATAATGGGCATTAAACATTTTACTTCATTTTTCCTGTATGGATAGTTAGGTCTAATTCTTTTTAGTGATTGTGGGTTTCATTAAGAAGAGTAGAATTTCTTAGGTCTTGAGGCAGACACCACAATGTCATCCGCAAAGATGATCTCATGTCAAGACTTCCATCGTCTGTCGGGAATCCTTCCATTTGGACTCAGTGCTGGACATCCTCCATGATAATGGCAAGCATGTATGTAGAAGTGGGGTTTAAACTCAGGTCTTTGGGCTATAAATCCATTGGAAATAGCAATAATAAACTAAGAGAAGTAGTATTCATCTGGAAATAATAAGAATTATAACTTCTTTTTGTCTTTGACCTAATAGTTCATTTTTTCTTCTCTTATTGCTATAGCCAGCATTATTAGAAGATCTTTTGCTTTACCCCTGATTTTATTAAGAAGTTTTTTTTTCTCCAATTTTGAGTAATACGGCTTTTGGTTTTGGATAGAGCCTGTCTATCATATTGAAATAAGAGCCAATTATTCTTATTCCTCTTAGTGTTTTTAATGTAAATGAATGATGAACTTTGGCTGTGACTTTTCCTGCATCTGTTGATATAATTGTGATTTTCACAGTTTACTAGTGTGATTGGTTGATTAAGTTTACAGTAATCAGGTCACCAAGTTACTTCTGTTGCATCTTTAAAGAAATCTTATATAATTATCATATGGGAGACAAATTTTTTGGAGAAGAGCCTTTAAGGCTGAATTTTGCTCTGCCTAATCAAGATCTTTTTATAGCCGACAATAAAAAAAATCACAGAGAAATTTATATTATCATCAGAGTTTAGCCAGTGATGTGATTGGAGGTTTTTTTTTTAATTCAATAAAGATGTTGTTTATTGGAGAATTTTTTTTTTTTGCCTTAGCTTGCCTCTTCCCTTATTCTATTCTAATGGAAGATCCCCTGAATAGATTATTCTAATAGTTTTGTAAAGGGAGAGGGAGAGAATAAGCATTTATTTAATGCTTACTATGAGCCACAGTCTGCGCTAAAAATACAAATTTTACAAATATTATCTCATTTGATCCTTGTGAGAACCCTTTGAAGTAAGTGCTAATATTATCCCCATTTTACAGTTGAGGAAACCAAGGTAGCCACGCAGGTACTAAGTGTTTGAAGCTTCCTTTGCACTTAGGTCTTCCTGACTCCAGGCCCAGCACTCTATCCACTGTGCTACCTATCTGTGTATCTGTGTGGAAACTATCAGATGATAAAATTGCTAAGATCTCATGGCTACTTACTACCTCAGATTTGTTGAGTCTTGAGTTATATGGATTCATATCCAGGCTGTTCGTTAACCCCTGCCTACTTCAGCTTTTACTCTGGAGTGAAATTGACTGTTTGCTTGTTCATCATTTAAATCTTCAACATAAGTATTTATTTGATTTTTAATTTTCCTGTGCACTGTGAAATATTTCCCTGTGAAAGTCTCTCCATGATTTGTTAGCTTTGTAATGATAGGAAAGTCATAACGTCTCTGCACCTCAATTTCTATGTCTATTGAATTGGTGCCTTCACTCCTATCTACCTATACCACCTTCCTCACAGGGTTGTAAAGATCAGATGAGATGAAATTTGGGAAAACAATAAGCATATATAAGATATTATTATTAATTATTATTACCTTAACTTCAATCTTCTACTACTGATACTTCTTTCTTATTTCTCCTTTAGGGGATCTTTGAATGATGTTTTGTATTTAAATCTACTATATTTCCCCTTTATTACAAGGAACTCTAAAAGTGCTAACAGAGAGAAGCAACATTACCTGGAAGTTTGTTTGTAATCCTGAGAAACAATGATATTGACCTCTGTGGAGCAAAGGCAGCATGGTGTCCGCCATGACTGATGGAGACACAAGTAGACAATGTGGACGAATTTCTGCAAACCATGGTTTATCTGCTGTCTCCTGGCAGCATTGACCATTGTCTTCCTAGTCCTCAATGTTAATCAGTTAGAGGTGAGTTTCATTTCATTCCAACACAACAGAGACCCAAGTATTCTTGGGATATATATTGTATGTGTCAGAAGGTAAGGGTATAGGAGAATGAGAGGGTCATCAGAGAACTTATTGTGGTTGCATTTCTTTGCTTTAAGATATTTTTTAAATTGTATCATCAAAGGTATTCTTATGCACCTTTCTTCATTTAGTACTTTGTTAAGTGTTCTGTGTCATGTGATTCCCTGGTCTTGTAGGTATTCAGGACCCAAGATTGACAAAAATGATTTGTACAGTGATATGTGCAGAGGTTAGAAGAACATATAGAAAACTGAACAACACTGAAAATAATTACCATATTGACATTCTGCAAAAGTGAAAGGGTAGTTGGGTAGCCGAGGGTGGCAAAAATTCTAGGAGTGACAGACTGGTTTTCACCACTGGGTGGAGTTGGAACATTTCCCCTGTTAATTGGAATTCTCTTTCCCCTTAGCAATTTCCACTCATTTTATAGAGGTCCTAAAACAAACAGACAAACAAACAAACAACAAAATTCCACAGCAAAGGGAAACAAAGGTACCTAGTTTTAATTTAGGGTTTTTTTTTTTAAAATTGCCAAACAGAACAGTAGTAACATATTAATGCAAAGTGCACCCTTAGAGAAAGTATCTTCCTGAAACCAATCATTGCTTACAATTTGGTCAAAGGTGGACAAAGGATACTCCTCTTTATTGAATTTAACAAAGACATAACTAGTCTTTATTTGGTTGCCTCAGATGCTTAATTTCAAGAAATTATAATTTTTCCCTGAAATGGATTGTTTTCTATTCAAGAACAACTGATTATGTCTCAGATTCAAGTGAGAAGGAAGACTTTAGACTGACTGCTGCAGCTGGCCTTAGACATGAGCTTTGTGACCTCACTTAATGTCTGTTTGCCTCAATTTCCTCAACTATAATAATAATAATAATAATATAATTTCTTAGTATTTCAAGGGAGGGTTGTTATAAGGATGAAATGAGGTAATATTTGTAAGGTGTTTAGCACAGTGCCTGGCATGTAGTAGATGCTATATAAATTCTAGCTATTATCATTAATAATAATGACTTCTTAATATTTTATAATAGGTGGCCATAGGGTTATATGCTTCAATACTGTCAAGCTAGGTGATGCAGTGGAGTTAAACTGAGGAAGATCCAAGTTCCAATCCTGTCTCATATACTTTCTAGCGTTGTTATCTTGGACAAGTCTCTGTAAGCCTTAATGTCCTCATCTATAAAAAGGGAATAATAATAGTACGGACCTCACAGAGTTGAATTTTTAACTCAAATGAGTAAAGTGCTTTGCAAGCCTTAAAATGCAACATAAGTGCTTATTATTATTATTATTATTATTACTATTATAGTCTATAAGCCTCCCTTATCATATTATTAAAGTGGTGTCCTATATCTCTGTTCAGTGTGTCCCATAATTAGCACTTGGCACTTAGAACAGCAATGTCAAACATGCAGCCTGCTGACCTTATGTAACCTACAACCCTCCTGAGTGAGGCCCGAACTAGATTAAAATGTAATTACTATCTGACTTTAATGTGTTGATGTGTTAATCTAAAATTATGTAAATATAAACATGTAAATAAAGAATATACAAATATAAGTAAATATATAAATATATTTTATATATAAATTTACATATAATTTCTTATTTAATCACTGTTTTTCAATCTGATCAAAGGTGAACAAAGAGGTTCTCTTCTTTATTGAATTAAACAAAAACATTTCTTGTCTTTGGTCACCTCAAATTCTTAGTTTATACATGTATATATGGAATATCAGTATGTTTATAAAATATTATACACACACACACACACATCAGCTAGGCAGAGTGCCATGCCTGGAGTCAGGAAAACTCGTCTTTCTGAGTTCAAATCTGGCCTTAGATACTTACTAGCTATGTGACCCTGGGCAAGTCATTTAACCCTGTTTGCCTCAGTTCTTAATCTATAAGATAAGTTAGAGAAGGAAATTCCAAAACACTCCAGTATCTTTGCCAAGAAAATCCCAAATGGGGTCATGAAGAGTCAAACACAATTGAAATAACTGAGCAACAAAATTTACTTTATCATCTTGTTCCAAGATTCCTTAACTATGTTCAGTTCCTTCCTTCCTTTCTCTTAATTTGTTTGTTTCATTCCGAAGGCATAGCTTCTATCCATTTTTATGTTTCCTCTTTACATTTTTTCAAATGCGACTGCTTATGCTTTCACTATATTTTCTGCTTACACTTTTTTCCCTGCTTATTTTATTCTATAATATTCTTTTACTGCCGTAAAGTTACTTGGTTTGTTCATTGCTTTAGATAATTTTTAAGTTTGTTTTGAAGATTTTAGATCATCTTGCTTCTTTGGGGTCATTTCTTTGTCTCTTCTTGAAGGCATGTTAAGGAGGGAGGTTTCTTATGATTTCTTGCTTTGCCATTTTTCTGGAAGTTTTCCCATCTTCATTTTATAGGCACATCTAGTGAGGCACAGAAGCTCTTTATTTTTTTGGAATGGTTGTAGTGAAACCATTGAGAATGATGTCTGTGAAAGTGCTTTAATCTTTCGTTAGAAAGTGCTCTATTAATCAAAGATAGAATATCAGTTGGCATTGGGTTGCATAGTACAATGGAAAGCTGATCTTTGCAGTCAAGAGGCCTAGGTTCAAATTCTATCTCTGTTACCTAGTAGTTTTGACTATGGGTAAGTCACAACCTACTGCACCTTAGTTTCCCCACCTCTTTGTTGTTTGGTCATTTCAGTCACGTCAGGTTCTTCACAACCCTATTTGGGGTTTTCTTGGCAAAGATAATAGAGTGGTTTTGCCACTTCCTTCTCCAGTTCATTTTACAGATGAGGAAACTGAGGCAAGCAGGGTTAAGTGATTTACCTGTGATCACACAACTAGTAAGTGTCTGAATTCATATTTGACTTCAGGAAGACGAGTCCTCCTGACTCCAGGCCTGGGACTCTATCTACTGGGCCACCTACCTGCCCTTTCCTCACCTCTAAAAGGAAGATAATAATACACTTAACTACTTTCTTCACAGGACTATTGAGGCAAGCATTTTGTAAGCCAGAAAGAACTTTCCAAATGTGAATTATAACTTTATTTTGTTTAAATATGATTCAATCGAGTCCTCAACATATTATAAGTCAGAATTTAGGGTTGGAATGGGATAAAATGGAAGCAGTTAGACGGTTTAGGAAAGGGGTTTTCAATTATTCATAATTATAGACTACCTTAGCCCTGAATTTCAGTAAATTTTGACAATACTTGAGTAAGCTTTAAAAATGTCTGCCAGCATTCTACAATTATAAATTTGTTTTGTAGTAAAATCAGACCCCTTTCCTTTACTTGTCTGACATCTCTCACTGTCCTTACTTGTGGCATAGCAGCTTAATATATTGTCCTTTAAATTAAAATAAGGCAGGAGTTCCCAAGCATTGGCTATAACCTCTCCTTTTTAGGGAATTTTTTTTTTTGGTATTGTCTTTTAAAAAAAATTACTCCTTATACTCTGTTCAATTTTGTTCACAGGTATCTAGTTAATGTGTGACTCTGATTGGGTGTTTCAGCAGAAATGATGACACCTCACATTTTGATTGGATGGAATTTATGTTTGCTGTGGGTCAGACCAGTTTGTGTGGCACCATCCTAATTTTTTTTTTTTTTTTGCCGTTTTCTCCTTTTCTCTTACTTATCTCATGGTGCGGTAAAAAGAATATTGGATTTGTAATCAGAGGATGAGGGTTCAAATCATGTCTTTGCTGGGTCATCTCACCTATAAAATGAGGGACTGGTCTTGGTGGTCTCCGAGGTCCCTTCCAGCCTAGCTCTGTGATCCTCTGGATCAGAAATGTCACACGTGCAGCTCATGGCTACATATGGACCACAACACTCCTAAATGCGGCCTGAATCAGATTAAAGTGTAATGAGGAAATGTTTAACGACACAACTAAAGATACAATAAAGCACAGATAATGTTAATTTGTAGTTTTCTAAGTGAATATGAGGCCCACAGGAAACCTTATGTATGGTTAGTGGCCTCTGTTTTTGAGCTTGACACTCCTGCTCTATATCAAGGGTTCTTATCCTGTGGTTCATTAATTTGTTTATTATAAAAAATACGTGTCCTAAAAGTCTTAGTGAAGTTTTATGGTTTAGTACCTTAAAAACTACACTTACTAGATTAAAACCGACAAACTGGCGTAACTATGTATTGTCTCGCACCTCAACCTTGAAATAAGGAACCTAGTACCAAGAATTTGGGCAAAATCTCTACATCTGTCATTGTTGTTGGGTACCCCTGATGGACACTTTTACTATTCAAATACTCAGATGTGATAAGATGATGAGGTTTTAAGCTAATGAAGCTTAAAAATTAGACAAAAACTTTTGGGATATCTTGTATTTTAGTAACTGTTTTCAATATAATTGGTTTCTTTTTAATCTCATATATTTTATTTTGTGTATTTAAAAATATTCTGAGAAAGGGTCCAGATGCTTTGCCAGACTGTCAAAGGGGTCTGTGATCCCCCTAAAAAGTTTAAAACCTCCTGCTCTATATCTATAATCCTATGATCTGGAAGCTGATAATTTATAGATACTCTGCAAGTAATAAAGTCTTTTTTATTTCATTGGGGATATTTCTCTGCCCCAGTGGAACTTTTTTTTAATTTTTTAAATAGTATTTTATTTTTTTTTCTAATTTCATGTGAAGATAATTAACATTCTTTTTTAAAAAAATTTTGAGTTCCAAATTTTCTCCCTTCCTCTTTCCCTCCTTCCCTAAGATGGCAAGCGATTTGTTGTAGGTTATATTTATATGCAGTCATGTAAAACATATGTCCATATTAGTCATGTTGTGAAAGGAGAAACAGAACAAAAGGGAAAAAAAGATGAAAAAAATGAAGTAAAAATAGTATGCTTCGATCTGCATTCAGACTCCATCAGTTCTTTTTCTGGATGTGGATAGCATTT